AAAAAAACGGTTTTTCTAAAATAACTAAAAAAATATAGCACGAATTGAAAAATTTTAAATGAGAAAGTTGTAGGTTTCAAAAAGATCTATCGACTGATTTTTTGAATGTATCGATTGCTTTGTTACTTTTCGAGATATATCGAAAAAACCGTTAAAAATCTATTTTCTTCTATAACTCGTTTACATGTACGTGCCCATATTTGCTATTTACTGCAAGCAGTCTCTATAATGCTTGGACTAGAATTTGGAAAACTGTTAATCTTACGCCCTTGTAATATACAACTTTTTTGTTCATTTATGATTACTCTATCTCATTCTGAAGTAATGGCAGTCACGAAAAACACGAAAAATTGGGAGTAATACATTTTAAAATGTAACAAAATATCGTAAAAAGTTACAATACAATGTAAAAAGAAAATATACACTCAAATGCGTAATTCTGCACAACGTTCTATCTGTATCCGCTCATTTACATTTTTTGCAACCATTGCAAATACGGTTTATGTAATGTCTAAATTTTTTCTGCAAGTTTTATTTATATTTTATCGAATTAAGCCCAACAAAAAATGTTTGTAAGGAGGAATTATTGCGGTATCTTGGGCCCCGTACCGCCGCCCCTGGTCCGGTTGGCGGCGCCCGGAGAGGCACGCACATACGGAAGACGTCGGCGTCGCCTTGTCGGCTCGACTCCGCCCGATGTATCGACCGGACGGCGGTGCGCGTCGCGACGCCGCACACCGCCACCTCCGCCACAACACCCCATCGGCTTCTCTATTGCGCTGCGTCAGTTCGACAGGACGTTGATCCTTCCTCAGAGGACCTCTCTCCTGTAGAAAATACCACCCTGTTTTAGACAGCCGGCGCGATTGTAAGTCTATTTTTGTACACTTTTAGAGTAAATTTTAGTGTAGGAAGAGAAGAGAGCACCGCCAAGATGTTGATCGGGCTCGTGAGGGAATCGGTGATGCAGTGCTTCTGCCATACGTGTCGGGCACCCCTACCGGCAACCGGTAAGATTTTTCCTCTAGATTTTGTAGTGTGAGCCTAGAGTCGGAGCGAAAGAGCTTGGGAGAGTGTGTGTGAACGGCTAAGATTTGCTTTACTTCTTTCTACCATTTACAATTTTTTGGTAAGGCGAATCGCAAGTGCAAAAGAGATCAGGAATATTGCAGGTTTTCCTTATAAGCCCGTGTTCAGTTATTAACAATTTAGAAGTAACGGACATTTAAATTAAAATAAAATGTTTTTGGCAATCAACTCAAATGAATAAACTTATTTCGTTTATCATATCGTCATATAATAAGGCAATGGAACTACCATTTTTTTTTCGCCATAAAAAAATATTCAGCTACGCAGATTTGTCGATTTCACCCTGTAACTTTTATATCAGTGCAAATAATTAAATTTTTATGCCGAGTTCCGATTGGAGTACTTTTCAACTTTTTATTATTACGTTAGAAAAGGAAAATAGTTTTTTTCTTTTTCAAATTCTAGAATTTGTTATAAAAAATATTTAGTTGGGAATTAATAATAATGCATAAATAAAATCAATTAGAAATTCCAATTATTAGTAAATAGTTTTATAGACTAAACAATTTATATTGGTAAATGTGATCAAAGTCATAAAATATTATTTCAGTCTGTGTTTATCGAAATTTCCATTATGATTCAGGTATAAAAAGTATATTTTCCAAACGAAAGTTCGCTGGTTTTGTGGCAAATCGTCCGTTTGGCAATGAAAGTTTCCTACCATTTGCCTGAATTGTCAAACTAATGTAGCTACCTCTAGCGAGAGAATTGGAGATTATTGGATTTATAGAATCATACTTACAAAATCGATGCAAAAATCGCTAATCGCAGTTATACCACCTTTATTTTCATATTCTGAGATTCATTATTCAGTTCTTTTAAATATAGATATCTCCGTTTTTTTCTAGTTTTTTACTTCGGAAAGAAAAACGGACAAACTGAATTATCAGATATCTACGTAGTCAAACCGCAACAAGCAATTCAATTCCAGGATCTTTTTTGTAATTTATTAATAGCACTATTAAAGTTATAAAGAAATAATAAATTAAACAACTACTTTAAAAATTATCAAGACTAATAAACAACATCTTGTTTGAAATTATGTTTTGTTTATTTTTAACTCTTTAAGGACAAAAATATCAAATAAAAAGGATTTTAAAGTGTTATATTCCATTAGAATAAATAATCTGGTGGATGCAAATCTGGAGAATATGGTGGCCATGTGATACACCTTGTCTATCTCTTTACAGAAACCAGCATACAAAATTATTTTCACTGACTTTCTATCGAAATAAATGAAATAGACCCCTGAGTTTGGAAACTGATATTAAGAAAAGTTTGGGCCATATATAGCCTCACTATTACTCTATTGTGTGCTAAAATTTCAGTTAATTTCGTTATCCCATTTTTTAGTTATTAATGAAAATGTTGAAAAAATCGCGGTTTCGGCCTACAAAATTGATACCTCTCACTTTAATTCGTCGTAATTTTTTTGTTAATTGATAAAAAAAATCCAAATTTTTACTGACGGTAAGTCGAACTGTTGTCTTTAGTAGTGTGGAGGTCACTTGTCTCAAAACCTCTTGTTTTTTTATTTTTAACATAAAGAGAAAGGAGTGCTATCACAGTAAATATTGCGATCTTTAAAAAAAGAAAAAAAACTGACACAGGTAGTAAATAATTGTAAACAACAATCTGAAAAAAATTGTTAAAATAATACAGTTATAAATATGATATTCTTAAAAACAGTATCGGAATGGTCAATTACGTTCACGGTCCGATGCAGGGTATACAGTATATATAGCCTTTATAACTCTATTATTTTAACAAATTTTTAGTGAGGCTATATATGGTCCAAATTTCAAATTTTTTGCTCCTACGTTTTATTAATATCGGTTTCCAAACTCAGGGCTCTGTTTCATTTATTTCGATAGTGGTTACAAGGTGATACAAGGAACGAATCGTTTGTAACTATGTCACTAAATATTTTAATCATATATTTATTATGAAAAAATGTAGTTTTAATGGTCTACAAATAAAAGTATTGTCCGATTTTTTTAAAAACTTGTGAATCACTTCATATATATTAATTTACATTTAATTTTACCATAAAATGGCAACATTAACTTATTACTGTTCTTTTTGTTTCGGGTGATTGCCGGCAGACGCCAGGTGGCGTTGATTATTGATGTATCGATGGGTCTGAAGGATGTTTGGATTTTATGCTTTGATTAATTGCTTTGGGGTAGGTGAAGGCTGGCTTCTTGTGTTAAATAGAACGTATGTATGCGGGGGTGCGTGCATGAAGCGTTTTTAATTTATTGATAAATCATTATTATCCCTTAATATCGGGGTGAGAAATTTTATTTGAGCGCAATCGTTATTATCGGAAATCGTTTTGAGTTCGTAATTGAAATTGTTACAAATTTACGGTAATACGGGATTGATTTTTTTGTTATGAAAATCATCCTCCAATCGAAGATTCGAGAAACTAGAACTCAAGTGTAAACAAACAATGCAAGTAGATATGTTTGATGTCTGATGATTCATTGATGAAATATAAGATAACCCCAATATCTTAAGTGATGCTGATTATTGCTACGTAGCCAGATTTTTATTTAAAAAAATATTCTCTCTTGTATCAGCCGATATAAGACTGCTTTATGAAATATAAATATTCTTTACGGACTTGGGGCTTAATAAATTTTAGGGGAAGCTTCATCAGTCAAGCTACTTGAGTTCAAGTCACTTGAATTCAAGTACATAATTTTGAAATAGCTTTATTATAATGAACATAATATTTATTTTACTTGAAATATCTTTTCAGGTTTGCTTTAAATTTGCTCTTTTAGCTTTTACTTATGTACGTGATGGTCAACTTGACTTTTGAACTGGTACTTTGGATTCAAATGCTCTGAAGTCAAGTAACTTGATAGATGGAAATAAGGCTGTTAGAAAATCTAGAGCAATAAGCACTACGATTACGATTTATTAACTTAAAGTGATACTTTAATTAAATATTTGGATTTTAATTCCGAAATATTTTCCACATTTTCTGTCTGATTATTTCTTTCTTATAATTATTCTTCCTCTTTTCATCGTCCATCTTTTCTATTTCACACATTTTAGTCTTCTCAGTTGCATATAGTTTCTCCAATCTTCTTACTATATAATTTCGATTATTTCGATAGTTTTGAAGATGTGCGTTATTCCGATATACCGAGGGTTACAAACAATTACGCTGTGGCATTGATTTTTTTTATTCAATGAAAGGTTTTAAAATAAATCACTAACACATAGCACAAGATTATTTAACTAGGTATGGGAAATGGTAATAGACATATTACGTAAACAAAGGTACGGAAACACCTGTCTCTGGGGGAAAGGTGCAAAAGGAATATAACAGCTGTCTGTCATTATAGGCGTACAAGTTTGCATTACAAATTCGCAGGGATCAATGAAGATGGATGGTTTTGATGAGATTTGGGCTGGGGAGAGGAATACATTTCGTGTCGTGGACAATATGGATTCTAGATCTTTTCAAATACGGTCAAACTTTCATATAAATTCTTCCCTACATAACAAAACATATGTTTTGGTTTCATTTCACTCATTTTCAATAGTGGCGTTACCAATAAAATTGGTTTTTAAAGGATCCGTTTTACTTTTATCTGCCCTTGTTGTTCTCGGGCTAGGCGCCCATTGTTAAAACCTCTAGGCTCGCTCTGATGAACATTTAGGTTCTCATTGGTTCTAAGTTCCAAAAACCATATGCTTGAAAACTTTTGTAGAAAGTTAGATTTATTTCTCCTGGTAACTTTTTTGTTTTTCGTTTTTTTTAATTTTCGGCTATTTTTACATGAACTCTTGCAACCGGTAGATCCAACATTTTAGAAATATTTAAGTATATCACTAGTAAGGTAAATTTATTTTGTCTTTAGGTAAATTTTAACATATTTATTGCAAACTGTTATTATAATTTGATTTTTTTAATTATTATGCAATAAAAAAAAATTTAATTTACTTTTTAGAACATAATTAAGCAAAGAAACCATTTTGACCTTTTATATTTATTTCCATAAAAGATCTAGGTATCGCGATACTAAAAGTTTAGGCTTTGTTATACAGTAAAACTTTTACATCGATTTTAATCAAGGACTTGGTTCAATTCCTGTATGTTCATAATTATTTCATATACGTAAGTATATACCGTACATTTAAGCATATATTTCATTAACCATGACAGGAACAGAATTATTCCCAACAATGTAATTTTTATAGAGAATTATTGTATCGGCTATTGTATTTATTTGTTATTCATTCCCATTGTTTAAATGAGGATTTATGAAACACGAAAAGCAAACGTGTCGGGTCGATAGCAGTACATTGTTGTACAGTAATGTCCGTTCGTGTGACTTTATTTTATTTATTTTATAACAATCGTGATTGAAATGATTGCTGCTTCACTTTCGTTTCCACTTCATGCAGTCGAATGAAATGTAGGTATATGAGGTGATAACTTATTCCCAGTATCTTATATCGGTCCACGACCTCGCGTCGCTCTAATGCGACAAGCTGTAATTAATCTGTTTACAATTTAAAGAAAAACACGGCGTTTTCCTCGACAAACAACATAATATTATAATAAACTTTCACGCGATATAAGTAGCGAAAATGTCGTTTGGAATTTCACTTATTCTCGTATATACTTTACGAAATGGGGATGGCCTGATATGGAATTAATGAAATTATTGAGAGAAAAAGTGACGCCTTGGTGTTGTTCAACTCTCGACGTGCTGATTTTCCTCTTCGCTTATCGTCACCGCGGGCAATTACTAATATAGATTGAATTGCAAGCGTTTATAATGAACCAACCCGTTTTACATTTGCCGAGAACGGGTATAATTTGAAATGCAGCAATGTAGTCGACTTGTATGTCGGCAAAATGCGCAATAAATTTTTCAGTTGATATTTTGGTAGA